TCCAGCCAAGACGGCTGTAGTCTCTTCAGGTCTCTGGACACCCAAAAAGTGGGTGGTCTTTCAGAAGATCTGCGTCACTGGGAGAAAATGTTAGTAAATCAAAGACCAGCTGGATTTGCTCTGAAATGTAATAAAATACTTTCTTACTTAGAAGTACTATTAATCCTTCCATTCACTGGACAAGGAAGGTTGGTTTTATGGTCTTGGTTACTTTTACTTGTTATCAGAACTTTGGATTCTTTTGGTTGAAGATTATGTAAGTATTAAACTTGCACTTTAGAAAAACAAAGACTGTATGACTGCTTGGTTCTAATTCTTAAAAGTTAAAAATTAAAATTAATACCAAGTATTTTTATGAGTAAATTGGAATGTTGAAATGCTTATGTTAGCAGTAACATTATTTTGCCTAAAATAGTTATTGAAGCAAAAGCCATTGTTCTGGACTGGATTCTTCAGATAATTCTGCTTTTGGCAAGAAGTTACAGAAAACCAACTTAAATGGGCTTAGACAATTAAGCATTCACTGGCTACTGTGTCTGGAATTCTAGTCACAGCAGGGTTCTGGGTTGGCCAGACAGGGTATCAACAATCATCTAGTCTTTTACCTCTCTCTCCACTGTGCTGACAGGACAGCTTGATTGTAAGACTCATTTATTCAATGGGTGTAGGGATGAGCTGTTTGGGCTCATTTCTATATCATTTCCTGAGGAACGAGAGAAATGATTCCTGCAGGAGATGCGCACTTAATAGCAGTGAAGGACTTTCACAAATTCTTTTCTCATTGACCCAGATGGGTTCACATGCCCTGTTTTCATTGGCCTAAATTGAGTCACATGCCTTTTATTCGTTGGTTTAAATTGGCTACATGCCTAGTCAGAGGATGAGACTACCCTTAGATAACCAGGCCTCACCCCAAGTGGAAGCAGTGTCAGCTTGCCTGAGAACATGAATTGATCAAGTGTGTGCATGTTGGTCAAGTGTGTGCATGTGTGTATGGTATTTGTGTATGTGTGTATACATGCTTGCTCATGTGTGGTGAGTGTGCTGGAGGTTATATTGGAAAAAAGGGAATAATACTGTCTCAGTAATTAAGTGCACTGTTACCTAATTTAAGTGAACTAGTTTAAAAGTGAACTTTTTCTCTTGTTACAAATGTAATATAGATTTTATTTTTAATTTTAAGACACAATTCACAGCCACAAAGAAAAGTTAAAAAAAAAACTCATAATCTCACTTCCTCATGAGAACTGTGGATGAAATTATAAAATGCACTTTTGATCACACAGATACTGTATTTACATACTGCAGATGCGGTATAGCTTAATTTTTTTAAAATGCAGACTTTGGTGTCAGCTTCCTGATCATGTATTTACTATGATAAATAGGGCTAGCTCCTTAGCTTTCTGGTGCCTCAACCGCTTTCTGTCTAATGGGAGTAATCATAATCACCAATCTGTAGAACTTCCTCCAGTTTTAGCACCCCAGTCCAGGCTTCAGCAAACTACAGGCTGCAGACAGACTCAGCTTACTGCTTGTTTTTATAAGAAAAGTTTTATCAGAATTCATTTATATACTGTCCATGGCTGCATTTCAACTACAATGGCAAACTCAAGTATTTCCAACAGAGATCTTGTAGCCCACAAAACCAAAAATACCATCTGGCACTTTGCAGAAAATTTTGCAATTATATTGTGTCCATCTGACATCATAATTCTGTGCTTGAGTGGTGACGGAAATTCTGATCAGGAAAAAGTGGACATCTACAGATCTAACATGATTGTGGGAAATGCTCCATTGTCATGTGATTTAGGAACAGTTGCAGACTATGAATAATTTTTTAAAATCTTCAAAGGTGTTTAAATGTCAAGTTATCTACAAGATCCATGTTTTGTGATTTCCTTGGATGTCTGGGATGTTGACATTAGGCCTGAATGAAAGTTACTTTGGTCAGAGTCCTATCTAGTAGGTAGAAGTCATAGGTACAGGCAGAAAATACGAAGACTAAAGAGGAAATGGAAGAGCCCAGAATAAATTGTGAATACTACTTCTGAAAAGAAAATACTGTCACTTCTGTGGGCAGTAATATAGATGTGAGGATGAGTGATCCAGTTGGGGACTTCTGAGAGGGAAGAGTTGAGACTAATTCTCTTTAAAATAATGTAACCATGCAGACCCAAGTCCAGGGTGTAGAAAAGCCCAAAGTGAAAGAAAAGAAGCAGGGACATAAAGCGGTGCTTTCCATTTTTGATCACAAGCATTGTGCCCTTTAAAAATAAGTAGAAATGAGCATCAACTATAGAGAATTTTTATGTAATAAAGGATTTCTTTATGTCAGCAGTGCTGGGTAATAGGTAAGAACACGGGATTTCTAATAACCTGATTTCAAATCCAAACTCAGCTGCCTTCCTGCTCTTTAATCCCTAATACCCTAGGCCTTGTTTCCTTGTTTATAAAATCAGATTATTATAAGTACTAACTTCTATAGAGCTTTGATGAGAATCAAATGAAGTAATCCATGTGCTTGGTCAAGAATCTAACAAATATTACACATTCCATGGATGTTAGCCATTTAATGTGGGTAATGTATAGAAACTCATTGTGCATGGGAAATAGTGAACCATATAATAATATTGTGTGGTAGCATATGTTCTTCCACATTGATAGTCCTGCCTTATTATGGAAGCAATAATGATAAAGGGGTCTTAAAATTTAGAGAGGAGGTTAAGAAACATTTTAGTAAGCATTGTGTTAGTTAAAATCCTGGTGAACTTGAAATACACAGTGTTGTTACAGCTGAATGGGCCAATAATAGTTCAGGTTCTTGTATACACAAGGAAACAATTGCCAAGCACACCAAGTAGTAAGTAGTAAGTAGCTATGTTTATTGAAGATCACAGGAAAGTTACCAGCAACAACAGGAAAAAGGGAAAAAAAGGAAGGCCCATAACTCAGGCTTTTAGAATGTAAAGGCCAGAAGCCTCTGGCTTTAGGCTTCTCCCACTGAATCTCCCTTGGTGCCAGTGTCCTGCCACCTAGGGCATGGAGATCTCTTAGGCTCTTGTTATTTCATTTTGTACCTCTCTTAGGATAATGGAAGCAAGAATAACCATTGGATGCTACTTAGAGTTAGATGGGGTGGAGAATGACTCACGCAGCTCCTTTGTTTCTAACTGTACTAGTGTCAAAAAGAGAAAGGTATTTTTTTCCCTCTCCCTCATAGGTGAATGGCCCAGCTCTGGCTAGGCAACTCTTCTCTGTGAGGTCCTCCAGCACCAGGGTCCCATTTAATCCATTTCTTCACCATCACCTGTGATAGGTTATGTAGAAGGAGCTCATTGTCATCTTCTTCTGCCATTCCCCAGGAAGGAGAAGACAGAAAATGAAGGCAAGCCATGTACCCAACTGAAATTCTAAGATTCTGTTACCAAAAGAGAGAAGGCAAGAATGGGGTGGTGAAGTCTATTAGCAAACTTCCATGAATATCATCATGGAAAAGTACTGTTGTCTTGTTGATTTTAAGACACTATTGATTTTAAGGCTCATAATTATTTTGTATACTAGTAAGTGAAAAAATGTTGTCATTGGTAATGTGATCGTTGATTTGTAAGACAGACCTCAATTTAGACGTTTTAAAACTTGGCAGGAGGAACAGGGGCATTTGACTTGCTGTAGAAGAAATGTACTATTAGGAAGACTTAGAGGGGGAAAAGACATTCATTTTGCAGTCTTCTATGTGTCTGACTTTCCCTAGAGCAAATGCGGACATGAGATAGATAGCAAGCTTAGTTGACCCACTGAATTTAATGTTCAGGATAAGTGATTGACAAGGTATTCTCAATGTGGATTTACTCTCAATCAAATTCTGTGACTACTGGTAGAGATACCCCTGTTTGAAAGGTTCAGGGAAAACATTCCTAGATTTCCACCACTTCTGGGTCAGATCTGAGTTGAGTAAATAGAAGAGGTTCTGTCTGTAGTAGTAGGGTTCCAGGTTAATAGAAGGACAAACACCAAGGGCAACACTGAAGGAACAGATTTGGCCAGGGTGCAGGGCTTCTTGTTCTGACATTCTGTCACTACACAAAAGCTGTAGAATGCTAGGCACTTTCCTTGGTGCTACACTATAGTCTCTGCCTCTCAAGAGCTCCTGGAGAAAGACCAGTAGATAAATCAGAGAAAGCATTTGTAGAGGAACCATGATAGAGGTCTGGGGAGTGGAAGCCCAGTTCCAGTGGAGGTTAGGAGAAACCTCAGGGGAAGTGAGGAGTTCAAGGCCCTCTCAGAAGAAGCACAGATTGTGCAAACACATGGAATTGTAGAGCAGTGGTCACTGCAGGGACTGCACTCTGAGCCCTTCGGCAGCCTGACTAGAAGCAACATCTGAACACAGAGGTTTGCTTTCCTCTCTGTCTCCTTTGCACTGCCCTGCATAAAGTAGGCACAGTGTTGATTGAATTGAATTGAAGAAAATGCAAACTTTGGAGGTGGATATGGCCCACAGAAAGGAGCCAAATTTTCCTGGATCAAAAATAGGTCAGATTCCAATAAATGGATGAAAGCAAAATAGTATCTTTAGTAGTTGCTCTTACACTTACTATTTAATTAGTCAGAGTAAGGTTTGAGAGTTTAATGTATAAAGAAATACTTGATTGGATCTTACTTGTTTACCCATTTTCATTTTCCCTCCCAACTTGATAAATGTACATGTTTTGCTTTAGCACATACCTTCTTCTTGGTTCATGCAGAACAGTTTATCCATAACTACTAAAATTGTCCTAAGAACAGATTCTTAAGTACCTACGTCTTTTGTAAATTTGATCTATTCAACATGTCAGAAGACAAGCTCTGTCATTCTCAAGTTTTAAGGTACAACTAGGAAAGGCCCCAGTCCATTTAGTAAGATCCTTTTATCCTATAGCTTTGAATCTAGTTCACAACAATTTATACTCTGCAGATGTTTCTTGCTATATATTGCAACTGAAATCTGCTTTCTTCTGTAGATCACGGTTACAGATGAGGAAGTTAGTAATCCATCCATTTTAGATCTGGTGAGAACTCCCCAAATGAGGAAATGTACACTTATACTTATGTTTGCTTGGTAAGTTTGCCTTTTGATGCATTTTAAAGCTTGTACAATCTACCACTTCCTTCCAATCAAGTGAAGTCACCTTTTATTTGTTCTCTGGTATCTGCCAATGTTGCTGCAGGTTCACAAGTGCAGTGGTGTACCAAGGACTTGTCATGCGCCTGGGAATCACAGGAGGCAACCTCTACTTAGACTTTTTGATCTCTGGAGTCATGGAGCTGCCAGCAGCTCTATTGATCTTACTGACCATCGAGCCCATTGGACGCCGCCTCCCCTTTGCAGCAGGCAACATTGTGGCGGGGGTTGCATGCCTTGTCACTGCATTCTTACCAGAAGGTAATTTTCCCTCGCACTAGTTTGGCAACTGCTGAAAAATTTGAAAACACTTATCAAGATAGTTATGCATGAAGAATAACTTTTTTTTAAAGAACTGTGCCATCACATTGTAGCCTTGGGACCAGGTAAGCATCATTAATGTCACTCAGTTTTCTGCTTAATCAGTGAAAAGACTTTGAGGATGTTAGATATTGGCTTGTAGGTTTTTCTGTTTTCTTAATGTTGTATTCATTTATTGATGAAATAGTATTTTGCTAAATGTAGCTCACAGTGATTTGCTTTTGATTATTTTTTTTGTTTGTTTAGTTGGTTTTTTTGTTTTTTAGGGTTTTTTTGCCTTTTTGAGATAGGGTTTCACTATGCAGTTCAGGTTGGCTTTGAACTCACTTTGTAGCCTAGGCTGGCCTCGAACTCGCAATGATCCTCCTGCCTCAGCCTCCCAAGTGCTGGGATTACGCCACCACACCCAGCCTACTTTTCATTATCTTTTTCTGATTTCCTTTTGTGATATGGCTGACAATATTTAACACATCTCCTGAGCATCTGCCATACCCACTGGCACCATGCTAAACAGCCAAAAGTCTTAGCTTCAAAGAGTCGAAACCATTCAGGGATGTAAACACTTTACCACTCTCACAATTATTTCTGATAAATGAATTAATAGAATTATTTATAAGATTTAGATACATAAAAAGAAGAAAAAAGCAAGGAAGGGATGGAGTAGGAATAAAGGAAGGAGGGCAGGGAAGCAGACTGGGAAAAGTAGCTCTGTGCTAGAACACTTTCCCTAGCATGCATGAGGTCCTGACCCAGCACCATCAAAAAAAAAAAAAAAAGGAAGAAAGAGGGAAAAATAGGTAAGAGAAGTGATTAATGCTTGGGAGCTCAGAAAAGCTCCCCAGAACTGAGAAAGGTATGCATGGAGAAAGGTATGCATGGAGAATGCATGTATCAGATAGAAGGTAGGAGAGGAACAGTTTTTCCAAAGTAGAGAACACATCCCAGAAATATGAAAACCTTTGTGGGCTCAGGAGCAAAGAACCTTCTTGTTATGGCTGGAATCCAGATGAAGAGCCTAAGGGTAGTCAGTCACCAATATGACTGTCCTTGCTGGCCATGCCAGGGGCATGACATTGCCCTGGACCCCCAGGAGGAGGAGTGAGTTTTTAGTAACTACATAGTTGGATGATGGGTATGAGGAGGGTAAAATGCTGCAAGCTGAAAGTGAGGCTGGACAGTCAGGCAGAGTGGGAAAGGGTGAGTTCCTTCCAGTAATGGGATGGTCGTATTTTCAGAGCTTAGCTGCAAGAGGATAGGGTTTGGGATAAGGAGGAAGTCAGGGGCTGCAGGTGCTTCCACAAGCACGGTTAACTCAACTGGATGATCTCTACCATAGAACACAGCAGCAGTGTGAGTGACAGCGAGTTTTATTTCCATTTCTAGAGGTGTGGATCAGGGATTCCATAGAGAGCTATATTCTTTCATGTTTGTTCCTGCAAAAGAGGTTCTCTTTCTTTGAGAATCTTCTGATCACCAAGAAAGGCACTTGTAATACTGAGGGGGTCAGAACTGTCAGGCTTTTATTTAGAAAATACTTTATTAATTAAATGCATACTTATGAATTCACAAGGTACTAGGTAGACCGGGAATAGAATTACAGAAATGTTAATCTTCAGAACAGAAAAAGAGGTACAAGTTTTTTGTCATAATGAGATAACTGATGATAAACAGAAACCTAAGTTTATCTTATTTTCCTTGAGTGTGTCCGGTTCCTAGGGCTGCTATAATAAACCACCACAAAGTGGCTTGAAACAACAGAAGTTTATTCTGTCACCCTTGTGGAGGCTGGAAGTCTGAGTGCGAAAGTGTTGCTGGGGTTGGTTTTTTCCTGAGACACCAGGGGAGGAGCTGGTCCATGCTTCTCTCCTGGCTCCTGGTGGTTGCTAGCAACCCTTGCCATTTCTTGGCATCTCTGCACTGTCTGGCTCTGTCTTCTCATGACAAACTCCTCTCCGTGTCATCCTAACTCACCATACCTATGAAGACTCCATTTCCAAATATGATTACATTCTGAGGTTCTAGGTACCTATGATGGAGGGCAGTGCTATTCACCCCACTATTTTGAGTTAACACATTCTGAGAGTTGGGGTGAGCTGTATAATAGCTATCAATGTGTGTCTGTTTAGTACAACATTTATTGTCAGCCACTCACCTAGGAAGGGAAAGAGAGGTGAACAAGAGAGACATGATTTCTGCCCTCGAAAGTATACATTTAAAGTAGAAGTGAATCAAATCCATTGGAGAGTTCAATGCTTTCTATTTTATTTTGGTTTGGGGACTAACTTAGAAAAGCAGTTGCCTCAGAGTAGATCTTCTAGTCTCATCACACACAGAGCAGAAGTGAAGTATTCACTGCTTATGAAACTAGAAACATGGGGAGAAAGATTACTAATCTGTGTGGCCAGTCATCTCATGATGAATCACTTTACCTTAGCTTTTTTCTTAGTCTTAGACTGTCTGGAATGATTTGCCTGTGCTGTTTTCAGCATGGTGCCACAACAGCGAGCATTCAAGGCTGGGTGTTCAAAACACGGTCAAAGTAACTGGGTGGAGTGAGAATCAAGGCTATTTTGTAGAGAACACTAACACATTGGAAAAATATAAGGCAAAGAATAAACCTTTCTGCTTAATCCAGTCAGTTGTCTAGCTATAAGTTCATAACTGATGCTTTAGAATTGTTTTCAGCAGAGTAAAAATTAATTGCTCCTGTTTGGGACACATGTTTATTTGTATGTTCTACGTCTTAACTGCTTTTATAGTCACATGTTGGTCATGAATGTCTGGCATGAATAAATTTGCAATCCCTAAAGGGAGTTCCAGTTAGAAATAAAGGCTTTTTCCTTGCTTCAACTGAAAGGCACTCTTGGACTTGACTCCAGGGACTGTTAAATGAATAACAAGAAGCTTTCCCTCTCAGCCTTGTGTGACGTCATCAGCAAGTCCACTGGCCCTGCTTTGAATGCTGAGGAGCTCTTGGAGAAGTCTGTCCGAAAATTATCTTACACAAAACCTTTCAACCAACTCTCCCTCCACGGAACCCAACTTTCCATGGCCTGAGAATAAAATTCTGAAAAAAGACATAGTCTTTCTGGCTGTATCCTCAAATAAGGCTCACTGTTTTGGTCCCAAATTTCTGAACCCTAATTAAAGTCTGGAAAATAGAGAGCTTTATTGATACCTGTCTTCTATCTTTAATTTGAGTCTATCTAGAGTGACCACAAAACTAAAAGTTTGGGTAAATCTTTTTTTTTGAAATGAAAAGTTTGCCTGTTATTTTTCTTTTTCTTTTAAATGACAAATAAGTTCATGTATCCTAATATACATACCCCGTTAGGGTTATTCACTAAATTTTATTTCAGAACTCAGAGTAGGTGGTACATTCAAAAGAGGTTCAAAATTGTATTTTAAATTCTGCATCCTTTCTTCAAGAAATGAGGTATTACTCTTAATCATCTATAGTAGTTTGACCAAGTCCCCATTCACAGAGGGACATTGTTTCTCTGTGTTTTCACATAACTCTTTGGAAGATGACTTTAGCTTTAGGGCTCATTTTGTGTGTGTGTGTGTGTGTGTGTGTGTGTGTGTGTGTGTGTTTTTCTCTGCCACTAAAAGATGTCTATTGCCACTCCAAAATGAATTTAGCATATTGTCAAGGTGATGAAAGATCTTTGTATGCTTAGATAATTATTCACACATAATTTATACCTCTCAATAACTTCTTTTCTTTCTCAGTTAATACATAGTGCAGTTCCTCAGGGACTTCACTTTTGTTATACATTTCAACAAAATATCTACTTCTGTGTAGTTACATTTTGTGACATTTTCTGATTTACTATATTGACTAGCTATTTATCAGAGTTAACCACACATATTGTGTGTGTGTGTGATTGTGTATGTGTCTGTGTTGATTGAACACAGGTTCAACAAATGGTTCTAGAGTTCTATTTCTATAATCTAACCTGGCTCAGAAAGGCATCTCTAGAACACTAAAATCTTAGCTGTCATTCTGATTATTGTTATTGAATATTATTTATTGCATTTCAAGGATCTATCACTTGGGTCTAAAATTAGCAGAGTCTAAGGGATGGGGGACACTAAGCCACTGCCTTTTGTTGTTTTGTAAAATGTTAATGAAATCAGACCTTAGCTTCTCTTTCAAATGTTTTGTGTTCACAGGAATACCATGGTTAAGGAAAACAGTTGCTACCCTGGGAAGACTAGGGATAACCATGGCCTTTGAAATTGTTTATTTGGTGAACTCAGAATTGTACCCAACAACGTTAAGGTAATTCCAACGTATATGCCATAGTTTCTCCTAAGTTCTCTGCAGCCAAATGTTTCCTTAGCTTTCCTAATATGTAATATATTAGCCTGGGCTGGATTTGGCCAGTAAAGAACATAGTCTTTAAGATTCTGTGTTGCTACCTGTTGCATTTTATAATACAGTACAAGTATTACAATATTTTCCCATATCAGTGTCTTTACATATAGCTGTGACTTTGGGGAAAAGCACTAACCTTGGAATTAGGAAACCTCCTAGTGCACTTTCTCAGACTGCAGATTAAATTTGTATTTATCACCACTGTCGTATTTCCAAAACTATGGCTCCTCTTTCAACCATGTTGAGCATGTAACATTTGTGAGCAGCTGACTACTAAAGGATAGTGTGGAACTGGGCATGAAGTGGCACAGTTTGGGTTTCATAGCTGTGGAATGCTCTTTCGGGTGCACCTTGCAGGGCACGAGGTAGCACTTGAGTGTTACGGAGCAGGACAGTGAAGTTGATGGATGAATGTCTCTCTGCCAACACTGGAGACTCGCTATCCTCATTGTGAGGTAGTTTCAAGTGGAAATGGTTTGCTTCAAGTACAAGAGAAATGCGATTTTCAAAGTTAAAAACAATAGAAATGGAAAATACTGTCATAGTGTCTATTATTTAATATCTGAATATTTTGATCATCTTGAATATCTAAGTAGTTTTCATTTAAAACTGTTTTTTGTTCTACAGAAACTTCGGTGTTTCACTCTGCTCAGGTGTGTGTGACTTTGGAGGAATCATAGCCCCGTTCCTGCTTTTTCGGCTAGCAGCCGTGTGGCTAGAACTACCTCTGATCATCTTCGGTAGGAACTGACTTTCTGTGTTGTTCTCCAGTGTCTTTCTTCTGCATTCTTTGCATTAATATAACCTATATGATTACTAGATTTGATTTTAATGATATCCATTTCATCTTTTTGTAAAAATTTTTCAGTTTTAAGGAGCCAATCTGTTCATAACAAAATTTGAAATTCTGAATGGTTTTAATTTACTTTATGTTAAAGGTTAATGATAAACTGTTTAAGTTAACCTTTTTTCTTTAAGTTCTGAGTTAAAACCAAACACCACAAAGCCCTTTTATAGTACTGGGGGACAGAACATAATTTTCAAGGTGCCTAATTAGATCTTCAGTATGTTTAAAATTCAACATAAAGAGTAATTGTATTTTTAAATGTTCAGTATTTACTACCACTAGATCTTAATTTGCTTCGATGCTAAATATACTATGCTGAAAGAACAGGGAACACAACATCCCTTCCACATATCCACATATCCACATATCCACATATCCACATATCCTATAATCTCTTCCTCATCCCTCAAATTCACACCCTTCTTTCCCCCTCCAGTCTCCATAGAACTCATGAATTGACAGAGTCCAGATCTCAGGAGGCACCAGTAGGTACTTCTGTGCTGTTCCCTGGATTATACACACCCTGTCCTCAGCAGTAAAAGATGAGAGTTGGCTTTCTCTCTTGCCCTGCCTTTCCTCCACTTTCACTTCCTTACTTTCCAGAAAGACTGTTTCTATTTGTTGTTCAACAGTTGAAATTTGAATGACAATATTGAGTCCAGGAAGCCATACATTCTAATTCTTGCAAAACTCTGATAGCACTAGGCATAGACAGTCAGCTTCTAACCACTTAACACCAGTGATCTTAGTACAAGACCATTTAAAATTATTTAATAGGATCAGTAATAAAATGTAGCGTCAGGGGCTGGGGATTTAGCTCAGCGGCAAAAGCGCCTGCCTGGCAAGCGCAAGGTTGTGAGTTCGGTTCCCGGTACCGGAGAAAAAACAAACAAACAAAAAAAATGTAGCTTCAGTTCTGCAGCCAGGATGAAAAGCAAAGAGGCACCATTGTCCAACCAGGAGAGGGAAGTCAAGGCAAAGTGTTAGCCTAGTCCTGTGAGACTGCAGTGAGTTACGGGGAGTGCCACACAAGCTGGCCAGGGCTAGGGCAAGCCCTGCTCTCCTAGAGCTGGGGGGTGGGCGTAAGTTCCTGAAAACCCAGGGACAGTAGAGTGTGAAAGATGCTGAACATGTCATGTTTGGATGTCAAGGGGAGAGTGTTTGGGAGGGAGGGAGAAGCCAGGTCTAGAGTATGATCTGAAGTGAGAAGAAAATCCCCACGTAGGAGGTGTGGGCTGTGTTCCCAGTAATAGGAGGCCGACAGCAAAGGGCAGAGTCTAGTGTATGAAGTGGGGCCTGATGGGAATTATTGCCAGGGAGACCCGTACAGATCACCAAGGGTCTTCTCAGATATATAGAAACTTTGCTCTTTATCTGATGACCAGGAAAGCCACTGCAGAATCTGACACCACTGGGGCCAACACAGCTAGATTTGTATCTTAGAAATAAGATGCAGATGGCAGATAGGCAGTTGAATTAAAGGGGGACTGAGCTAGCCGTGAGATGATTAAAAGAATGTTATAATTGAGTAGTGAGACCATTGTGGCTTGGTCTGAGAAAGCAATGACAGAAGAACGGAAAGGAAGCATCTTAGGAATTAGATTGGCAGGTGGGATACTTGAGAGGGCCAGCAGCCAAGGAGACATGAGATGGGTGGCCCAGGAACCTGCAGATGAAAGACTAGTACTGGTCGGGGGCTGTAGTGGATGAGGTAGCTGTAAGAATCTAAATCAGAGTACTGAGAACCCGGGAGACTGGACACCACTGAGCCCAGAAGAGAATGTGGCCTGGAGATGGGAACTGCGAACGGTCCGCATAGGGCTCACCAGCGAGACTGGGGCAGTGGCCAGAAGGCAGGACAGGGAAGCCAAGAAAAGAAGGGTTGTGAAAGGAGAGTAGGGAGCCGTGAGGTTGGGTGGGGAAGCCGAGGAAGGCAGGTGTAGCTCTAGTGGCCAGCAAAGCCCCGTAGCAGTGGCATTGGATCTGGTAGCAAAGGCAGTTGGTGGCCTGGCCAGAGGAGGACCAGGGAAGATGCGGGGCAGGAGCAGTGTGAGCTGGGGCTGGATGTATGCTGGAGGTGAACATATTAGGACTGACTCCTGTCAGCTCACCAGGGCCAACTGTGACATTTTTAAGAATTTTGAGAGCCAGTCAGTCATTAAATAAACAATGATTAAAAATTAAAGTGTATAAGATATATAAAAAGCACAGGGCATAAATATTCAACATTCACCAGTTCCTAATTCATGTACCACATTTTTAATATCATGGGTGATCTTCAGGTTATTTATTCTACTGTATCTTTCTGGTGGGAATACAAGGGAATAGAGCACTAATGTCTATCTTTTCCCTGGAGCTGTGTTCCCTGAGGTCATGCTGATACCTTGAAGTGTTCATGGTGGGAGCATTTATACCATGGAAATGGGCAAAGCTGTAAGTCAGGACTTTGTACAGAGCCAGCGATTAGACATTTACCAGTGTACCGCTAGGATAGGTATGAGAAGTAGGCAGCTATGTTTGGACTCTGAACAACAGAAAAGTGGATGGTGAGTGGAGGGAGAGGCTAACAGCTTGCTGGAGATGCCTCAGTGTGTTAGAATGCTCCTACTACATTGAAGATGCTAGAAAGAGTAGATTAATCAATACAGTAAGGACCCCAAATGACAGGTCTAAGGGACATCCCACTCTTGGCAGGAGTGGGGACAAGTCTTAGAGTGGGAGGGATGGAAAGAAGAGGAGCCAGTTAAGTTTTAGTGTCAGGTAAAGGAAGAGGAGGCGATCCCTGGTTCTGCTTTCCTTGTGCAGCAGGAAATGAGATTTTGAATGCTTAGCTTGGCTGATACTCAGTAAAGGCAGTTATGCACCGTGTAAGGACGTCAGTGACCCACAGTGTCATGTTATGGTGACCCCATAAGACTATATTGCCTAGGATAGCATAATTGTTTTAATTTGCATAAATATACAGTACTCTAAAATGTTCATACGACAAAGAAGTCACCTAAAGATGCAGTTCTCAGAACACCTTCCTGTCATTAAGTGACACAGGGCTACCATTGCTGAATGCGTGAGTGAACAGATGTATGCCAAGAGTCCAGGGCCCATGGTGTGGTGCAGGATTTGAGGAAGGTGGAGAGCACTGAGATCCTAGCAGAGTTGAATAGAGTAAGCAGAGGATAGCTGTGGTTGAGAAGACAACTTAAGGTCAATGAGCATGGCAGCTTCCAGAGTGGGTAGGGAGCCGGAAGGCCAGCCCGTGTTTCTGCAGTGTAATGCATCTTTCCTTTTGCAGGTATCCTAGCATCGGTTTGTGGTGGCCTCGTGATGCTTTTGCCTGAAACCAAGGGTATTGTCTTGCCAGAGACAGTGGATGATGTTGAAAAACTTGGAAGGTATTGCACAAAATACAGCACATCTCAAATCGAAGCAGCATTTTAGATGCTTGGGGAAAAGATGCTATTGAGAAATTGAACATGCAAAGGAAATGAGAACATGAAATCCACCTTTCATGTAATAAGCAAAAAAAGAAGAAGGAGAAGAAGGAGATTTTTTAAAACCCTATGCTATAAAAGAATATGTACTATTTTTAAAATGTGGTTGGGAAGCATTTCCAAGTAAGATGTTAAAAATCAGAAGTTATCTTTAAAAAGGGACTGATATGGTATAGAGTAAAGTAAGTTAAATGTGCCTTAAAGATCGTAAGTGTAATGTGGTTCACTACACAAAGATGAAGAGAAGCGAAGGCTGCCTACTTGGAATGCATGGGGAGTGCTTGGTACTGGTTACAAAGTGAAACCATGCACTATCATGTTTACTAAAAAATAAACCAATAACAATCCCTGTGATGAGCAGACAGATGACAGATGACAGATGACAGAAAGATAGATGATAGATAGATAATAATATATCATTGATATGTTTATTAAAAAATAAACCAATAACAATCCCGGTGATGAGCAGATGACAGATGACAGAAAGATAGATGATATAGGTAGATAATAATATATCATTGATAAGTGAATATGGGTGGATTGATAAATAATGGATAGATAGATGATAGATTGATAGACGAGACAGATGAGGTAGAAGAGAGAAAGATTGAGTTCTGGGGGGATCTAAGTACAGTGCTACTTTGGTTGCCAAAAGGCTCTAAGCTTCAACTTTCCACTGCCTGAACAGCAAAGTTTGAAAAAATGCAGCTCATTGTTTGCAACTTTGCTTGATAGTTGCACCAAAAGTCCAACTTAAAGAAACCTGTACATGCCAAGAGTCATGTACTGCATCTAGGATGGACACAAAGAGGTGACAGTTCAGTCTGAGCGACACTTTTGCCCAGACAACATAGAATGTTTGTGTTCGTGTGTTAAACTACTCTGCGGTGTGCTTTTTGTGGCACTTTATTTGCATAAAATATAACCATGGCTCCAAAGAAAATTAGTGATACCAGCCGTAAAGCTAATAAGACAAGTGAGAATCACTGCAAAATTTGTAAAAGCCTTGGAAATTTTGGGGCCTCAGAACCAATTATTGGTTTTCCATGGTTTCTTACGGGAGAAAAGAATGTTCAATTCTTATGTTCAGTTCTCAGACTTTTTGGTGTTTAAACATGAATTTGGAAGGAATTGAGTTTGATAATCAAGATATCAGTGAGGTGTTCGGTTTACATATTGGAAAATATACCAACATATAACAAGTTATATCGATAAAAGTTCACATTGTACAAATTCTCATTTTCTGTTTGAAATTTGTCATAGTAAAAAGAAAGCATGACTACAGAAATGAAGAGTTAAAGCTGTCAAACAATAACATAATCCTCTAGGGGCGGAAATGTGTAGAAAGGGATGTAAAGGGGGACCATCTTTCTTTACATCTATAGACTTCTATTGTGTTTGATGATTCTTCAGTTAGCTCACATGATGTGGTATTATTTGTGTAACTTTAAAACTAATTTACCCATTTTTTAAAACAAAACTCTATCTTAATGATGTGGGAATTAAGGATGTGTGTGATGAAGGATGCATCAAAAATATTCATAAAAATACTACATCTTAGTAACTCTGTAGTAGTATTTTCCTTTGCCTGTAGATTGGGGAAGAAGGGAGGAACTGACTTTAAAGCACTTAATGCTTTTTAAAGCACTTAAAGCTTTTTAAAACTGACTTAAAGCTTTTTAAAGCACTTAATGTTATTAATGGTTTTACATACATTATTACATCTAACAATCAAAGCAATCATAAAATAGGAACTTTGACCTCCCCTTTTTTTAACCAGGAATTCAGAATGGTTTCTCAACTTTTAAAAGCCAGGACTGGTGGTAATACTACCAGGTACCAGCGTGACTCCACTGCTGTGTGCAGTTTCATTTTGTGCTGTGGCCTATCTATGAATTTGTTTTACATAGTGAGCGTCCCTCTAGTGGGACTGGAAAATCTCTTTTTCTGTTCTCCTCAATCAGGGATCATTGCCATTTCCAGAGGCAGGGAATCATTGCAAAGGGTCTCATGAGTGTTTTATGAGCACTTAAAACTTTGCAGAGTGTAACTAACTTATATAGTGATCTCATTGTCCTGTTTTCCAAAACTATTTTTAAAAATAAGATTGATTAATCATCTCCCAGAACTTCCCTAAGAAAGGACTCAAAATGAAATCACCAGCCATATCCTGTTGGTTGCCTATTGATGGGACAGGCCAATCAGAGGACAGGGGACGTTTCCCTCACCAAGGAATCTCAGTAGATTCTTATGGTTGTTTGGAAGGAAAAGGATGACTAGTGGCTTATTCCCCACCCAGGGCTTTACTTGCTTCATATTAAACAGTGCTATGTGAAATTTGGGATGGCGTGCAGTTTCTCTTTAGACACCACCATCTTATCAAATGAAGTTAAGTAAATCAAAGAAGTGGATTGCAGTTATTAAAACTGTGTGACAAGCCAGGCGTGGTGGTGCACACCTATAATCCCAACATTCAGGAGGCTGAGGCAGGAGGATCATTGGGAGTTCGAGACCAGCCTGGGCTACAAAGTGAGTTCAAGACCGGCCTGAACTGCATGGTGAGAATCTGTCTCAAAAAGAAAAAAGAAAAAAGACATCCTCTGGATGGTAGGGTCTTGGTCCACCCAGAAAGGGGACACACTGTGCTAACTGGTCATCACTGACAATGACTTGGGGGGTGGGTCAGAGTGGTGCCCACTCTTGTCACCCCAGTTGTAGCCATACACAAAGATCAGGAGAAAGGAGACTATTCAAGAAGGCTCACGAAGCAGGGGATGATGGTAAGGAAGGAAGCAGGGTTGTCTTACAGTAAGAGGTCCATAGTGTGACAGGAATTTCTCATGGTTATGCTTGCCTCACTTGGGCAGCATTATGGGGCAAAAGAGAGGAGGAGCTCAGCAGTGGCTACTGGAGGCAGAGCCTATGGGTGTATCCCTGAGGTTACCAGACCTCCAGCACTCAGCGGGACAGAATCCTTCTTCACCACATTTGCAGTCACACTGGCAAATACACTCTCTTCTAGCCAGAGGTCCTGCATCTTCCTGTGGTTCCCTTGTTCCTGACCCCTAAACACTCAGGTGTCCAGTTTTCTAACTCATCAGGAAAAAAAGAAGGCAGAAGATGTCATGTGGATCAGGTCTCTACCATAAATTCAGTTATATTAAAGTTAGATTATACAACTGCAAGAGGTGGAGATTTTTTTCAGGAGGAGTCCTAAATATTGTGCAGGAAAAATTAATATCCACTTGGTGTATAATCATGAAAAATTATACCAACAAAAATTTAAATTACACAGGTTCTTTTAATGTTTTTCTAATTTTATAATACAAAGCAGAGTAAATTAATTATACCAATTCTCTACCCTTGAAAAATAATCTAGGAGTATGATTTACAGTTCTACAAACTAACTTAAAAAAAAAAAATACAAACTAACTTCATTCATTATGACCCATGGTTATTTACTCTGGAACAAAACTACTTACCATCAAATTATCGAAACCTGTTGGTGTGTTCACTTCTAAAACTGCAGGGAATGATTCCATCATTTCTACTGTCTTTTGTTTACACATCAGCAGCTTATTTCTATGCCATCAGTCATTCAGTACAAATTCATAAGGAATTTGCAAGCTGTAATGTTAAGTAACCCCTATTCAGGGTCTGAAAACAAGTCAAAATGAGCCACAGAGGTGGTTATTTTGGCTACCTTTGAGTTGAGTTGCTAAAGGAGATGTTATGCCTGAGTGTATTTGAGCAGAACTAACTGTGCTACTGAGTAGTAGTGTGTCTTTCTTCTAACTAGTTGCATAGTTGCTCACAAGGACTTTCTTTTTCTCTTTTGCTTTGTAAGTTCACATCAACTTGGCAGGAAAAAGAAAACCCAGGTTTCCAGCTCTCACCTGTGAGACACCACCCCGCCACAAAGCCAGAGGAAGGAGCTGTTGGAGTCAACCCTCCTGGAGAGACTGAGCCTCCAGAGATGTACCTGTGCGCTTCAGCATCGTTACATGGCACCCATTCAAGTGTCTTTAGTATCATATAAACACCTGCAGATTATGCAGAGTATTTTTATACAATATTGGGTGCTTTCTGATTTATCACACTATTGAAGTTTCTGGGAGCACATGATACGTGGCTGGGTTAGCAAAGAACCATCCTGGTTTTTTTTTCTGGTATTGGGGTCAGCAGTCTCTGACTCATTTGGTAAAAGAGCACTGAGAGAAACCCTACCTGATCCTTATCAGGCTGTGCAACCGAGGATCCAGGAAAGCTGAGTGGAGATCACATCTGATTAAAGGACACAGCACTGAATGGAGCGTCAGGAAGAGTTCATGCAGGATGATGATTTTCCCAGGCCATACCAGCCGAGCCTCTGCTTTCTCTGCTCCCTGAGTCCCATGCCTTTGCAGCCTGGACAGGCCAGGTGTCCCTCCCACCCAGCTTCTCTGCAGCATCTGGGGTTCCAGGCACAGGTTAGGCCTCATTCTATAAATAAGCACAGGTCTGCTGTATAATTTGAGAATTTGGCTCTATTATTTTAAAATCAGGTTTGGGTCCTGAGATTACTTGGAATATTTTTGATATCTTTTAGGGGACACCTATATAACCAGGGAATTCATTCTGTACAGAACAAAATCCCTAGAATAATGATTTCCTGTGTCTTATGATTTTAAAAGTAAAGGGATATTTATGTTGTATTTGTGAGTTCTAGTCCAATGGTGCCTGTGGTCAAGAGTGAAAAATACGGATGGTTCTCATTTAATTCTGGTCCTTTGATTTGTCTTGGAAAAAAAGCTTACATTTTCACTTAAAGAAAAGGTCAGTTATATCCAGGCTTAAAAGGAATTAGCATCAGCTCTATAAGTGACTATTGATACTAATAAGAGATTTGACCTTTCATGTTACCAAGACTCTTGAAATGTGGAAGTTAAACACAATATTTTGCTTTGTTTCCTCTTTGTATTTTCAGAATCCAACGTGTATCTTATGCTGAATTTTTTAATGAGAAACTTTGTGAGGATAGGCAAAATCGGTAACAATGGAAACTTTGCCAATGAGAAAGAAATTTCTATGAGGAGAATATACATATATGTGATAGTATTAAGATATGTGTACTGTTGGTAAAATAAACTTTGTGTGTGTGTGGTACTGGGGATAGAACCCAGGACCTTGTGCATGCTAGGCAGGTGCTCCACCACTGAGCTACTCCCAGCCTAAAAATAAACATCTTAATCTTTAAAGTACATCAGAATTTCATATGGATGTTCTATTCATCAACGAAGGAAACAGAGCTTTTTGAAGATTTAATGCTCCATTCTTCCTGTATTCACAGACACTGATGTTTTGCTTTTCTTTGCGTCTCTTTGCTGTAAAATGGCAGTTGCTTTTTGATACTATCACCTCTGAGTTGTACTTGGAATTGACATTTTTGTTTGATAACAATAAAAAATTTAAATTGTTAAAAAAAAATCTATCCTTTCTCTTCCTTCTGAACATGTGTCATCGTGAAATACTGTGAAATTCCTATGTAACAGTGTGTGCCACGTGTACTTTCCCAACTTGGCAGCCAATTAGGGGCAAAAGGTGAAGTGGCCCTCCTTCAACAATGACTTGTGGTTTCTGCAGCTCTCAGTACCTTTCCTATGCTCATGTGTGACCCAGAGTAGCGCCCACACTCTTAGCTGGTCTTGTATTATATTTCTAGTGCCAGGTTCACACGACACACAACTCTGCTCCATGCACCATGGGCTGGGCTAAAGTTGAGTCATCAGTAACAGATTTAATTCCTAGGAATAGTACTTGTTCTCCTGATTCCCCACATGTGTGGCAGCTTTGAAAACATTCATTTCAATGTCAGGGGACAAAATGTATGTTGAAATGTATGTTGAGCCACACTTAATTGATGCAGTCAATTCTGGGGTGACTTGCTAAGACCTCTCAGTGATCTTACAGGCTTCTTAGTCCTACATGCAACTGTTCCTTGTGAAAATGAGCTGAATCACTTTAGCTTTTCCCTTAAAACTGGTAGAATGAGGAAGGTAAGATGTTCTTCCCCGACACCAAAAAAATTAAATCAAAGAAAGTACAGAGTTTATTTAGAATATATGTCATAGCTGTGTTGCCTTGTTATTAGAACCCAGAAGTCCACAGGGAAGATTTATTCACAAAAATACAAAAACGCCAAGGATTGGCAGTAGATGGTAGCTAAGTACTACGTCTTAGTCTAATTACTGTCAAATTATTTCTGAGCTTTCTAAATTTCCTACCCATGTTCCAGCTTCTGGGTAAGCTGATGCTTCACTCTGTCACCCATCCAATTAATTAACTCTCATTGTTTCTTCAATCCAGTTAACAAACGTTGAAACACGAACGTAGACACCAGGCCTATTGGGGCGTGCACAGCCAAGGCCCCAGGAAGTGACTCCTTGTAAAATGTATTTGTCCTTCTCGAAGCAAACCAGAGGTCCTCCACTGTCACCCTAGCAACAATGAAGCAAAAAGTTCATTAGAGGATTAAATTACTCACCCTTTGTTGTGGGTATTGTCCCCCTGTTAATCCCTAGGTAGACATTTCTCAGCATTTTATGTACTTTTTTTTTTTTTTTTTTTTGGTACTGGGAATCGAACTCAGGACCTTGCGCTTGCCAGGCAGGCTCTTATACCGCTGAACTATATCCCCAGCCCTTCTCAGCATTTTAAATCAGAAAGGAACTTATTAATAATATTATCATTTGAGCATCTGCAGTGTTTAAGTACTTAGGAAAGTCTATTCAGCAGAACTCCACCATTTAGTTTCCCTTGGGAAACAATCCCTTGTGACAACTGTCCTTATCTCCTCCTACCTTAGGGCTTCTCTCAGGCCTGGCTAGCCCGAGCACAGTTGCCAAGAGGGTCTCTGTCCTGGATCCTTGATCCCCTTCCCTATGTACAGCCCCGCAACTGAGTTCAAGTCCACCAAGAAAGCACGTGGCCTGTGGAAGTTACAGTACCAACCACTCCCTGACTGCCCATCTGGAGCCCAAGCCAGAGAAATCTCCTTAGAGTCTCTGCATAACTCTTGGGGCAGACATAGAGGGCTTCTTGGCAACATTGTGACTGGTGCTTTAGGCTGGCAAATCCTCACTTTGCCACTTTGGGACTGAAATGTTCATGGGACCAAGTCAAGCCTGGCCACGTCTGACTTGAGTCTCCTTAGTCCTTTCTTACCTGGCAACTGTCCGTGCCACCAGCTAAATGTCCAGCACAGAGCTCACTGGATTTGACTTTGCCGTTGAGGTACTCAAAGCGGTTGCAGACCTTATTCTCAATCACAGGGAGCTGGGCCTCTTTGAGAAGGCCAGCACCATAGGTCCCTGTGTTTAAAGTAAAGAGACAGTTACTGGACCAAGACCTGTTCTCAAGGAAACTGCTGGAAGAGCAGAGCAGCACTGACAGAGCTCCGGTTTGTTGAGGCAACCAGATGACACAAGCAGCCAGTCCTGACAGCACAGGAACTTTGTGACGCTTGGAACTATAGACATGGTATAAGCTGCTCTGCTCTCATGACCTGCACTGAACAATCCGGGCTTCTTGATGGTGTTTGACTGTTTGTTGTTTGTTTAATTTTAAAAACAAATTATTTTTAATACAAAGGAAGTTAGAGAAATACAGTTGCTGCTATTTTTATAGATTCTTTTTGGGGCTTTTTTAATGCATTTACTACCTACACCATATCATACAATTTCAAAACTTGATTCTTTTTTACTCACTATTATAACATAAGGGCTTTTTAACTAATGCCATAATCTTTACAATATTTTAATAGGGTGTGACTGCTCAGTGGCTGTGAGGTCTCCTTTTTTGGGAGAGAGTTGTACCCTTCAAATTCATTAAGCAGTACATTTTATTTGCATGTATATTTTATTACAATAAAAAAAATAGCATTCATTGGGAACTAACCTCAGGCACAAGCTCATACTGTGATGCATCTCATTTAATGGTCACATCGGTCATATGAACAAGGCCCTGTTATCATTCCTGGTGTACAGGTAAGGAAGCAGGAGCTTGGACGGGTTATAGTGTTCGCCTTGAACTTGGGTCTGTGGAGTTATTACCTGGATCTTGCCTCACCATGCTTGTTGTTACCTGCTCTTGCGTCCAGTGTTTTGCATCTCTGTTGATAAAGTTTATTCTTTAGTCCCAACATTTTCTGAAGTCTAAGTTCTCAGAAACCATATAGACATATTTATGACTCCAAATAACACTGTCAGATTATTTTCTAGAAAGATGTGAAAGGGCAAAATGCACTGGGAAAATATATTCCATCACACCCTTATGAGTATTCCTATTTTAATATCATTAAATTGTTACTGTTTTATAAAATGTTAGCTAATGTAATAAGTTGAGGTTGTCTTGATCATTTTCCTAATTTACATGTGTTTGGCATTTAGGGAGAGGACGAACTTTCCTATGAGTTTTACTTGTCGTATTTTTTCTTTTCATGAAAAACTGTTTTTTTTCCTTGCAAAATTGAAATACGGTATTCACAGACTTTCCAGAAAATAAATGCTTCTTTTCCAGATGGACACACCCAAGATGTCTCAGTGTCTGTACAGATAATCCAGTTTTCCAATTCTGCAAGCCCAGCTTGCAGGGCTCTGCAGCAAATATTTACTTTGCTAGAACAGCCAAGAAATGACATCTATCTCTTCCCTAAAGATACTTAACTTAGATGACTGCCTTTCAGAAAACTTGGACTCAATCTGGAGATCACCAGAGCCCATAAGAGGCTTGTCTGAATGTCTTGGTCCAAAGCTGAGCTCAATCCTGGCTAGGCAGCTGTCCTGGTGAAAGGTCCTGACTACCAAACACTGAGCAGGGGGGAATATTGCTTAAACTGAATAGAGAGAAGTGCCCTTCTTAAACATTCTGCTGAACCAGGTGTGATGGCACATGCCTGTAATCCCAGCACTCTTGAGGCTGAGGAAGGAAGATTGCAAGTCCAAGCCTATTGTGGACATCTTAATGACTTATTTTTGTATCTACTTTCTTAGCAAGAGAGACATTCAGACATGGGGGACAATAGCCACCTCTGAGTGACGGGAGGTTGGTGTGGTCTTTGGGGACATGCTGCCATCCTGTGGCCAAAGTAGAGAAGGCATTTCTGGGGGCCCACAGGTTGTAAGGACCTCAGAACAGAAGCCCTTATTGGGGTAGAAGGAGCGGGTAGCAGGGAGGTCCCACAGCAGTAGCAGTTCTAACATGCCTTGAGCAGAGCTGGTGAGGGGCTGAGCTGGGAGAATCTCTCAGCCTCAACACTGACTTTATGCTTGGAATGTGAAAGTCAAGGAAAATCTTGGAGATAAGAAGGGAAGACAAGAAGAATTTGGATCTCACACTGGGAAGGTGAACTATTGATCCATCTGAAGTCTTTATGGCTATGGAGGAATTGGTAAGTAGGCCTCAGTTATGTTATGTGACTTCTGGTCCAATTAATTTGCTGAGAATCGTTTCCTCAGTACATGGGCTGCAGGACTGAGAGTGATAAGGAGCCCAGAATAGGAGAGTGGCTAGAAATATGTGGGTGGGGTTGAGATAGAAGAAACAGTGGACACACTTGGGTATCAAGCAGGACTGGACTCCATCAGGACTCAGCCACACACTGGTTGTATGATAGTGATGATGCTGGTGCTGAGAGTGGTCATGATGGTGGTGGTGATGGTGATGGTGATGGCAATGATGGGAAAGACAGTGGGGACAATGGTGGTGATGGTGAGGTGGGGGGGTTGATAATGGTAGTGACAGTGATTATGGTGACAGTGACAATGATAATATGATGGTCATGATCATGACAGTGACAAGAGCAATAATGATGGTGATGGTGAGGTGAGGGATGTTCATGGTACTGGTGGTAGAAATAATATTGATGGCAGTTGTGGCAATGATGATAATGATGACAGTGATGGTGATAGAGGTGATAGGGGTGGTTATGATGGTATGGTGCTTAATCTTAGTCCTCATGATGATTTTATGAAGTAGTACAGATGAAACAACCAAGGCTTACAAAAGTTAAGTAACTTCTGACTTGCACCCAGACCTCCTGGAGGTCACAGACACAGGCAGTCTGTGATCGCTGTCGGTGCAGCCCCTGAACTGACTGGAGATGCAGAATCAGGTGGGCTGCAACCCGCTGACATCATGGTTCCCAGCTGAAAGCCGTGGAGAGAACCAGGTATTTCCCATCTACTTCCTGAGGGCAGAGCAGGCGACCCACAACCCTGCCACCATTACAGTCTGAGTCTCTGCCCTCCGTGTGCCCGGTGGAGATCCTCACTCAGAAGGCCTGTGAACTCCTCTCACCAGGGGTTCACATGTAGGCCCTCTCTGCATGTGCCCAGCACCGAGTGAGGTACTGGAGCAGGCGCTTAATGAGCTGCTGGCACCCCAGTTCGGGTCTGGGCTTTACTTGCACCCTGACCTCCTGGAGGTAACAGACACAGGCGATCCATGATCACCATGAGTGCAGCCTGTGTCCAGCTCCCATGCACGTTCTGAGCTGCCTGGAGACACAGAATCAGGTGGTCCATAAACTGTTGACCCTGCAGTTCATGTCTGGGTTTGCCTGTACCCTGAACTGCCTGGGGACACAGGTCCACTGGTCTGGAATTGTGCCACCAGTGCAATCCGATTCTGGGTTATACATGTGCCCTGAACTGCAAGGGGACACGGGATCAGATGGACTGCCATCAGCTGACATCATAGTCTGCATCTGAGACCTGGGAGAACTAGACACACTTCACCATCTGCCAGAAAACCCCAGACTAAGAAGTGCATCTCAGCAGACACTGAGAAGCAAGTCTGATCACCAGGAAAACTAGGGACTCTAGTGGCCTTTGCTGAGCTGCCAGGGAAGACGGAGACTGAGCTTTCTGCATCTGGTATCAAACATGACAAGACAAAGGTCTAAAACACAATCTCGGAACCCCACCCCTCTCAGAATAAGTCCAGGAGACAACAACATAGGAGAATTTGATAAACACACACCTGAAATTGCTGAAATGATTGCAGTGTAAGTAAAGAAATAACTCCATCAGGCCATAGAAGAGATCAGATCAGAAATAATCTCTCAGCCAAAAAATGAAAAAACAATATTAATGAAAGAACTGCTCAGCACATCTAAAGAAGAAATATATAAGAAAATAGAAGAATATAGGCAATGGACAGAAACATTAAATGAAAAGTATAGAAATGAATTAGAATGCATGAACCAGATTCAAAGAGACATCCAGGAAATCAAAGTTGCCACTGAAAGCTGCCAAAACTGCTTGAATGAAACTGAAGTTAGAATTTCAGATTTTGAAGACAGCATGGCAGCTAATGATCATGAAAGAATTTCTTAAAGTCACCAAGGAACCAGGAAAAATCAATTCAACAGCTGCAAGATGAAGCAAAGAGGAATAATGTATGACTAACAGGAGTCAATGAAACAGCAGGAGGCAACACAAACAATGTAGAAAGAATATTTGCAGAGTTAATAGCAGAAAATTTCCCAAGTATGGAAACAGAACCTGATATACAGGTAAATGAGGCCTATAGAACTCCAACTAACCATAACTAAAGTAAAACTACACCCAGACATATAATAGTCAAGATCCCAGATCTGCAGCAAAAGAACAGAATATTAAAAGCTGCTACAAAAAAGAAACAAATTACCTATAAAGGAAGGCCTATCAGAATCATGGCAGATTTCTCAACACAAACCATCCAACTGAGAAGAGCTTGGAGCAAAGTATTACAGGTCCTGAGACAAAACAGCTTCCAACGAAGACTGATGTACCATGCCAAACTATCCTTCAAATTCAATACAGAAATAAAATATTTCCATGACAAAGAACAACTGAAGAACTTCATGAGTGCCAAACCATCATTGGAAAGAGTAATAAAAGATATTCTAGACAGAGAAAAAAAATGACTGCAATTTCAAGAACAACAATAGAAAGGAACCCTCAAAAAGAGCAAGCAATTAAACAGATAGGAAAAGTAGGAAACCAACAACAAGTAAATAATATGACAATGATAAGTCAACACATATTGTTATAACCATAAATGGAAATTCCCTCAATTCACTAGTCAAAAGAAACAGACTGGCAGAGTGGATTAAGAAACAAAATCCAACAATATGCTGCATAAAGGAAACACATTTTACTCAACAGGAGATCCACAGACTGAAAGTCAAAGGATGGAAAACAGTCCTCCATGCAAAGGGAACCTGGAAAAAAGGAGGTGTAGCTATTATGTTTGTAGACAATGTAAACTTCAAACTGACAACAATCAAAAGAGATAAAGAAGGTCACTACATACTTGTCAGTGGAAA